GGACTCCACCCCCTCCCCAGGCAGCCTGTTCCAATGCCCGACCGCTCTTGCTGTGAAAAATTCCTTCCTAATGTTCAATCTAAACCTCCCCTGTTGGAGCTTGAAGCCGTTCCCTCTTGTTCTGTTGTTAATTACCTGTGAGAAGAGACCAGCACCAACCTCTCTACAGTGTCCTTTCACGTAGTTGTAGAGAGTGATGAGGTCTCCCCTCAGCCTCCTCTTCCTCCAACTAAACAGCCCCAGCTCCTTCAGCCGTTCTTCATATGATTTGTCTTCCAGGCCCTTCACTAGTTTTGTTGCCCTCCTCTGCACTCACAGAGGAGGGCACTCCTCTTGTCCTGTCCCTGGGCACCACTGAAAAAAGACCAGCCCCATCCTCCTGACACCCACCCTTTAACTATTTATAAGCATTGATCAGATCTCCACTCTTCTCTTCTCCAGACTAAAAAGACCCAAGTCCCTCAGCCTCTCCTCCTAAGAGAGATGCTCCAGGCCCCTCATCATCTTCGTAGCCTCTGCTGTACAGCTGTATGACCAGAAGGGGCTCTTTTGAAGGTAGAAGTGCCTACCCATCTTCCCAACCCCACCATAGAGGTGGGCCAACAAAGCTGTCAACCAAGCAATGGCCCAGGACTGTTTGCCTTCCCTGTGGTTTACAGCTTTAGTTAATAAAAGAAAACAGCAGACTGGGCTCCTGGCCAAGTAGAGCCTTGAGCTTCTATGTAAGAGAAAGGCAGAGTGTGGGTATTTCTGAGACGGTGTCAATACAGCATATGCCGTGGGACAACAGTGTGGAAAGCAGTGAGTGTGGTCACACCCAAGACACAGTTTGAGTTGTTGCTGTTATAAATTGTAATATCATCCAGGATCTCCTCTTGTGTTCCTGTCTGCAGAACACACAAGCATCCCTGTTTTAAAAGCCTTGTAACTGAAACACACTTGAAATGGGGAGTTTGACTTCTGGCTTTTTGATGCAGCTGCTCACTGCTCTCTCCCCTTATAGCTCATTTTCTAAGGTGTGTAGACCACCATGTCTAAGTGGTCTCTTGTTTTAAAAGCAGTTTAGGTTAGAGGGATTTTCACAAATCAGGTCTGCTCTCCTGCTCCTTCGTGGCCTTATGTGACATGTCTGCTTATGCAATCAGCCTGGGTCTATGCAGAGAGCCCTTGAGTGGCCGAGCAGCGCTGCTACGCTGTGCTCGGGGCTTTGTGAGTCCTGTCTGAGTTGCTGAGAGGTGGAGGGCTGCACGTTCCCCTGGTAATCCTGGCTGTGTAAAAGCAGTGTTTCTAATGCTTATGGTAAATAATGAAGAGCTAAGGACGCTTCCATTTCTTAAGTGAATTGGAATATTTCAGTCTTCCCACCTCAAGTAGACACTGCTTACCTATTTTTGGGAGTGTGTTTGTCACCTTTCCTCTTCTCCTGGTGTTAAAAGGGCTTCACTCAAATAACAGAACAAAAGCTTCAGGCTGGCTCTTCCTGGGGTCTTCCCCAAAACACCACTGTTTCTATACCAAGGCTACCTCTGCTTTGTGGAAATGGACATTTCATCTTACACAGTGCAGAACTGGAGCAGGTAAGGAGACATCCTTGCTCTAAATGCCAAAAGTACCCCGACGTCTCTGCAGCAAGTCCTAGAACCCGCAGTTACCTTTGTGATTAATCTGTTATTAGCATGCAGAATGTGAGAATTCTTTACCTTCTTACAAGCCCATGAAAATCAGTGCTTTAGAAAAGCAAGCGCTGGTTTTCAGCCTCCAGCCTGACCTCGGCTCCCCGCTGCTATGGAGACAGCAGCGTGAGCTGCAGCATCGCAGCGCGGCTCTGACAGCGCCTGTGCAACAGCCGAATAACGCCGTCCTCAGGCGCTGCCGATGGCAAACTGCTGGTGCTCAGGTTTAAAAGTGAGCATTCCCTTATGAACTTCCTGAAAACACCTGCCTGGTCCCCAAAGGCCCAAATTCTGTCCCCCACTTAAATCTGTGGGAGATTGTCTAATGGCTTCATTAGTGCCAGGATTTGGACCTGGGTAGGTGAGGTAAGGCTGTCTCCCTAAAGCTAATGGCAGGTACCTGCTAATCAAATGACACACTGAAAATCTCTCCCTCCAGCACTGGGGTCCTCTAACTCTTTGAGGTACAAATTTAAAAGGCCAGGTCCTTAGGGCGAAAACAGAAATGCTGCCATTTTTTGAGAGGTTCAGTTCTGTTCTCATTGTGGGACCTAGAATAAATACCTCCCGCTTAACAGCCTCGCTGCTTGAGCTCAGTTTATTTACTTAATGCACACTGCCCTGTCTTTCCATCACCTTTCATTTTTATTATGTCTTTTGTAGAAAGATGGAAGAACAGCAGGATGGAGTAGGAATACAGAGAGCAGGTATGCAACTGAGTAAAGTCTGAGGATTTGGAGAGCTTTATAAGAGGGGTAGTTTAAAATAATCGATGGGACAAACAGGAAATATCAGTGAAAAGCAAAGCAATGTACTTTGTCACCCACTACAGTGATAGGAAATGGGGACTTGTCCACTGCTGTCCCTCATTTGATGTGAGGACAGGAAAGCTGTGCCAGACAGTGCTTCAGGCTGGAGATATTTAAGACTAGCCATCGCCCTTCCATCCTTTAGGAGATGAAGACAACATGCTAACAGCTGAGCAGACCCTACATGACAGGCTCCTGGAGAGATGAAGCTTTGTCCCTTGAACCTTATATAGGAAATTTCTCTTACAGCAACAACCCCTCAGCTTCCTGAAGGGAGCAGGTACAACAGCAAGGTACAACAGGGTAGAGATAACTATTGCCTTAAACCCTCTGTCCTTCCCTCCACCCTCCAGAGAAGCTCAGCTAACTCAGTGTGGTCAGAAGCTTCTGTACTTTGTGGGGTTTTTTTCACCTTCCTGGTCCAAATAATTGTGATTGTCTGAATCAGGTGGCTACGGAGGCACATCCGTAACCAGCCAAGATTATAGAGAACTCGGCCGTGTGTTGGGTCAGGATCTGGCTTCCGAATGGACTATACTTACATGAATAATTCTGGGTGGCCAAAAAAATCCACACGAACACTTTGCATCTTCAGATACTCCTCCTTACTTGGAGCCTCTCCCAGGGGAAAGAAAACGTTAAATTTTGCAAATCATGAATGGCAGGATTGGTACAATATTTAAAGGGTAAATAACTTCCAAAGAAAAGGAATAACTTCTGGTCTACAATAATTACTGTGGCATATACCATTAACTTCAGTGTCAGAGCCACCCAGACCTTGGGCTTGAAGAGGCTGGAAAGCAAACAGAAGAAGTAAACTTTTGAAAATACACAGGCTAAAAAAAATCAGAGGCAGCATAAGATGGAGAACCGTAGCAGTTCTCCTGCTGGTGGATTGAAGTGAGTGGGTATGGGCCCAGGGAGGAGACAGAAAATGTGAGAGGAGTGAGAGGATGAGAATGGAAACTTTAACAGATGTAGGAAAGAGGAGAGTTTCTCCTTAGTGACTGTTGACGATATGGACTAGTCCACACCGAATCCCGGTCGGGGTGATGTGCTGCATTTTGCAAGGAGAGAGACTCTGCAATGGAAAAGGAGGGTGCCTGGGGCTTACACCCCTCTTTTTCTGTTGCCCTCTGTTCCAGGTGCCCCCGCATCCGCTGGGAGTGGGTCGGTGCCAGTGGCCTCTGAGGGGTTGTTTTTGGGAGTCTGAGCCGCAGTGGGAGCTATAATAAACCAGCGGCACAGACATGCTCACTGGAGCACAGCCTGCATTTATCCCAGCTGCTAAATTTAGGTCTCTTCCAGCAAAAGAGCATGTGCAGAGGCACAGGGATGACAGAAAATCGTCGTATGAGCTGGAAAAAAGAACCTGAGAGGGCTGATTTACGCGTTATAATAACTGTACTTTTGGCATCACAAGAGACTAAAGTCCCTGAGGATAATGCAGGGAAGACAAGACATGTATTATTGCAAGGCTGATTTCCCTCTGTCAGCCTCATGGTCTTGTCCAAGGCTGATCCTGGCAGTGTCACATCGGGGTAAAACAGAAGCACCTTTGCCTGAAGTGTTTTGACTTGAGGCTGGTGCCCTTTATTGGGGCAAAAATAATCATCTTTATGTGAGAAACACCGACTCACATCTTAGAATTTAAAGAGGACAAAGTCACCGAAGCAAAGGTTAAAAAAATAATAATTTATTAATACGAAACAGCGCTGAATCGGGTGCACCAAAAATAGATGCACGATGATCTTTTAGCTTTCAGGTATTTTATACCCTTATCCCGGCCACTTGAGTTTCTGTCTCCCTTCTCATGGGCTGAGAAGTTGGAGCTCACATTCTTCCCAACCGCTTCACCTATTACAGGTTTATTTTGCACTTTTTCCCATATAAGGCACACATACACCTATTCTATGAAATCATTATTCTAAACACGCCTTTGATTAGTTGATTATGCTACACGTTATTTCAGAGTCTTTGCTACCATCTCCTTGGCAGATTTACCAGACTGGTTTCTTTGGCCTTATTGATACTCCCCTCCCCTCTGGGTTCCTGTGTTGAAGGCCGTGTTCCAGTCTGTTTCTCTTCCCCTGGATAACGCTCTGCAAACAAGGATCCCTTGACAGACAAAGGGCATTTCTGGGGATTAATTGGATACAATTTATTAGACCCTACTATTACTAAGGCTTCTTTGTTAGTACTATCACACTAACAATGATACATCAATTAGCTGAAGCAAAACTTAGCTCATTTCCCACATTTATGAAAATAATAACTCTTACAGAAATCACGGCTGTTTGTGATGCAAAGTTCTTAGACAAGGGGGAATAATGCTTAAGGCCTGGAGAGGTGCTGTAGGGAGCAAAGGAGACACGGCAGAGGTAGGAAATGAGCACGGAGGGAGGAACAAGCCTTCTTGCTCGAGGCTGGTGCAGCCTGTGTGCTCCCCGCGTCGTCCCCCTCGCTCCCCCCTTGGGGAAGCCCTTTTACACGACAGCATCAAGGCAGTCACCAGAGGCTGACCCGGGCTCAGGCTGCAGGCAGACAGACCCTCTGCTCCCTCCCGGATTTGTACCGGCCACGCTGGGGAGCGTGGAAGCCCTCCCAGCCTGCCAGGCCACCTTCGCTTGCAGAGCTTCCCTTTGTAACCCCAAACGTGCCTTTCCTAAGGGCGCGTGAGGCTCCCTGGGGAATCTCTCCCTGCTCTGGATCACAACCAACTCTTGAGGGAAGGGCAGAGGTGGGGAGCAGGGCTGGATCGCCTTCCCGGCAGGCGCTGGGGAAAAGCTGCTTTGAGCTGGCGCGTCCCACCCCGCTCCAGGGCGGGGACTTTGCCATCCAGGGCACGGCCAGCAAAGCTCTCCCCATCCCCAACGAGGCACCCGCTCAGGACAGCAGGTGAGTGCCAAACTGGCCGGGACCCGGGTCCCCTTGGGCATGGGGAAAAGGGGTTGTGTGGCTGGAGGTGCCTGGGAAGATGCCAAGCCCCGTCCCCTCCTGCCAGACCACGGCGGCCGGCAGTGCGGCAGTGCCGGGACAGCACAGCCCTTGGCCACGATGCCAGGGCATTGGGGCACTGGGGCAGCCCTGGAGGGCACGGGCCTGGGGTGAGGAAGGACGGGGAGGCAGGTTGTGGGAGGGAGGGAGGGAGGAAGATGGCTGACTCTTCCCAGGCACAGGGAGTGCAGGTTTTGCTTCCTATTTCTTGCCGTGCCCCATGGCCAAACTGGCACGTCCTCCCCGCTGGATGCTGGAGCCGGGGGGGGGACACGCCAGGGGGCTCGTGAAGAGGCTTTGGGGTGGGTGCACAGGCTGAAGTGGGGAGCACAAGGCTCTGCTAACCCCGTAGTATATTTTTATCCCTTTTGAGGGCAGTGGCCAGGCGAAGGTCGGTGTGTGGGAGGTGCTGGGATATTTGGGCTGCCTCGTGAGCAGAAGGGAGATCCTGTCCTGGGGCGCAGATTGGGCTGGGATGAGGGTCGGTCACCCCACTTTGAGCCCCAGACCTGCCCCGGGACACTCTGCCCCCCTGGAGCACAGTGTCTGCGGGGGGAGCCGGCTGGATCCAGCACGTTGGGAACGGCCGGTGGTGGCAGAGCCATGGAAAAGCTGATCCGGCAGAGGGTGTGGGTTTGTGTTCGAGTAAACGTGCTCCGAATAAGAGAACTAGTCAAACAAGTCGGGTGTTTGCCTTGCAAGGGGACAGGTCACAAAACAGTGGTTTTCCACCCCGGATCCTAGGTGTAGGACCAGGAACGTGTCGATGAGCTCAAACCCGTGGGGGAAAAAGGCCCGGGTTTATATCTGTTTTATATCTGGTTAAGCTGCTGGGAGCTTTGCTTGCGGGGAGCTGTGTGTGTGCTGTGCAGAGTCAGGAAAACTTGATTGAGAGCAAGCCTGGGTTTGAACTGGTCAGCACACACGATCTTTTCAATTGTTTTCTGATAAATGAACTTTATTCTGGATTCAGCTTTTAGATGTGGACTTATAACCCTCTGATTAGCTGATAGAGCCTTCCAGGAAAAGGTCATCCACGGAAAAAGTTGAATAATGGGAGGGATGCCTGGTACACCTCCGCTCTGTGAGCCGGGCACAGCATTTTGAGCTTGTTCTAAGGCAGGCTCACTGCATCAGCCAGCTCCGGCCTTTGTTCTAGGATGAAGCAACATCTGGGTTAGCCAGAGCACCTTAGCACTTGCTGGCTGACTCTTTGCCTGCATAGTTTAATTCTTCAGAACATGGAGTTAAGTGTTGCTCCTGTCCTGGTTTTCCCTGTCTGAGCTGCAGGCCAGGAATCTGACTGAGCAATCCCTTTCTATACAACCAGAGGAGGTGGCTGGGAGAGCTTTATTCATCTAATGCCCCAGCCAGCGCAGTTCCTGGAGGCACCTTCACCTGTGAAAGGGAGTAAGAGGATTACTGGGGTAGGGAGCGTTGCTGAAGAACCTGGCTGACCCACCCAACGCTTCCACCTGTAACTTCACTGGCTCATTTCTCGTGGCACCACACACAGAAATGTACTGGGAACAAACCAGCGTTTGCAGATGGTGCATTTGGGTTAATGCTGCTGCCTTTTGCACTCTTTATAATCCCACTGACGGTTACGCTGGATGAAGAAATTGGAATATTACAGTCAATGTTCAGTGTGACATTTCTGTTGTAATTTGATATTACAGGAGCATTTGCCCTGAATCCAGTACACGCATCCTTTCCTCATGGTTTGGTTTCCTGCCACCTTGTTTGCACTCAGAATTTTTCTGCCTTCTACCCTCTTTTCCTTGTTTTTTGACGTTTACTTTGTCCTCTAATGGACTTAGTAAAACCAGCCTGTCTGATACTCCAGCTTCTGCATACAAATCAACTCAATAGTAAAACCGCATCAGAAAAACATCTGTGAAATTCAAAGCCGTTATTCAGTGTCTGGCTAAAGCAAATTAAAAAGGTGGCTTTATATTTCTGTAAAAGGTTAGAGAAGAGCAAAGATGAGTTTTCTGATCATGTTTTGACCACTGAAATCTATAATCATAGAAAGGAAAGCAAACCCAACACTGATAATTTTCCATATCCCGCCTGACTGCGCAGGGTGTGACAGCGTAGGGATGACCTGCAGAGCACTGAGGAGTGCCTGTGCGTAACACATCCGTGGCAAATGTCATCCTGAGAGTTAACTTGCCCGAACAGCACCCTCCAATGGTATTCCAGATTTGTAAGAGTCATGTGAAGCATGAGCAAAGACACCCCTGTTCTTGCACAACTGCCTGGGTTCCTTGATAGCAGCTGTTAAGGACCATGAGTAGGAGTGAGGAGCGATGGCGTCAGCCGCTGGTATCGCTGCTGCTCCTTAAGGGCCTTAATGGGAGAAGCTCAGCTCGTGCTGTGTTAAACTCCAGCTGCAGGGAAGGGAACCCTCTCCTAGGACTTGACATCCTGTCCACTCACCAGGGATATGGGAAAATACTTTGTTCTTGTTCATGTATAGGCCCTATGCATGAAAACCAAATGAGGTTTGGTTTTACTGTGAGGGTGGTGGAGCGCTGGAACAGGTTGCCCAGGGAGGTGGTTGAGGCCCCTTCCCTGGAGATATTCAAGGAGAGGCTCGACGGGGCCCTGGGCAACCTGGTCTAGTTGGGGGTGTCCCTGCCGACTGCGGGGAGGTCGGACTAGATGACGTTTGGAGGTCCCTTCTGGCCTGGGCAATTCTATGATTCTATGATTCTATGAGCAAAAAAAATAAGCCCTGGGGAGATGGCAAATAAGCTACGTGTAGAAATTTTTTTTAAGGGTTTCAACAGCCACTTAAAACTGCAGTCCTACAAGAAATTACACATTGCACCAAACTGAGGAGATGTGGAATACAGCAGATTTTAAGTAAGAGGGAAAATAATTCCCCCGTCCCAGTCCTCAAGTGAGGTTATCCTTTGCAGGCTCACCTCCATCTCGCTGTCATCTCTGCTTCCCAGGGAGTGTCTGGAGGCTGTAAGGGCTGCCCCTCACCTTAATTCACCCTCAGGCTCTCACCTGGCAAGGTCAAAGCCATGCGCTTTGAAGGGCATAAGCATCAAATTTATTTTCTTTGCCCCCAGGGCAACAACAGTCTGCTTCTCCTTGTAGCCCCAGCCAGGCTGTCAGGCTAGCAATAGAAAAGAAATTTCTTAAAATTACTAGTGCTAATCATCTGCTTGTGCACCATGTCCCTCTTTCAGGCAGGCTGGCCCTGTTGCATGCCAGTCTTTGCTTTTTCTGAACAAAGCAGGACTGGGAACTCAGGGATGCTGCTGTGAGTGCTCAGTAGGGCTCTTCAAGTGTTGCTTTTAGTCCTCAGAGAAATTACACTGTTACTTAAAAAGGCCTATTAACTGGAAAGGGTAGGTCTAATCTATTAATTAATTGCTGGAAAACTTAACTCTCCCTCTTTTTTTTTATTACAGCTGCCTAACAGCCTGAGGACCCGGACAATAAGAGACTGACCAAACAGGAGAGCGATGGTGAGTGCATGTGTTTCCTGTACCACCCTGCACCAGGCGTTTGCTCTGATCAGATAAAGGTGGGGAGTGTAGCTCAGATAAGGACACAGCAGGAAGAACACTCTCACTGTCTGTCCCTTTATGGGGGGTGAGTTTATCGATTCTCTCTGCTTCCTCGTACTAGAGAAGAATGACCCATTCATATGGGCTTTTCCATTTTGGGAGTTAATGGAAAATCCAGTCAGATATTTCAAAGAGCACACATTTCTCCACCTAAACTTCCTTATTCTTTCCACCTGCAAGGTAGCCATCTGTATGGTGGCTGTCCCTCTGTCTCTTTCAGAAAGCCTGACCTCCAGGAATGTTAAGCAGTGTTCTGCTGATGATTTTCATGGGAACAAAAAGACAGTGTAGTCCCACAGAAATGGCACCGGTCAGGAGGCGGGAGAAACCCGTTTGCGAATCACTGTTTTGAGCAAAACACTCCACTTCCTGATGGCATTTTACAGAATGATGGTCCTTGGCTGTTCTTAGAGAAGGCAGGAATAGGGCTTTGGGTACAGCTTCTGTGGTTTACATGGAAAATTCCTGGGAAGAAGCCCCAGCTGGACTAAACAGAGCTGTTGGGCTGCCTGCCATTATTTACTTGGAAAGCAGATACTCCATGGGCAGCTATAGGAAGACATTTTCTCCTTTCAGTTGTGCCCCTGTGGATTATTTCTTATGTGGCTGGGAAGTCCCTCTAGATCAAGCTCTTTCTCTTTAGGGTGAGATGGAGGCCTGGTATAAAATCACTCATGTTTTGTGGGTGGACTTCACTTGCTATCACTGTTTGCATCTTTTATTTTTTTTTTTTTAATTAAACTCTACTATACATACATATCACTGAGTCTGCCTTTCATAACTCCTCTCCTGTGGGTGCAGGCAACCATCAAGGGGGTCTCGAGCTTCAGCGCTGAGCAAGAAGCACATGCACTGAGGAAGGCTATGAAGGGACTTGGTAAGTTGGTTTCCCTCCACTGTTAAACCCTCTTTTTTGCCGCTGAGCATTGGGAATGTTGTTTTCTGGTGGTTTGTTAGAGGAGAAGTGTAGCCATTTGCATTGCCCCACTGCCCCAAGAGGGAACTGAAAGGAATTGAGTGTTTTGATCAGGCTGTGACTTGAACCCAACTTGAAATCTGAGTCTTGGCCACAAAAACATCCTCAGTCAGGCTCTTGCCTCTCCTGCGGGGTGGTGCTGCCATGGCCTGGCTGGGCTGAGGCACTTCTGTACAATGATCTAGTCCCCAGTGCTGTTGAGAACCAGGTTGTGTAAGGAGCAGAAGACGCTGAGAACCCGGTTGTGTAAGGAACAGAAGATCACTAATGGCACGCTGTGGACAAGACCAGAGCCTGCTTCTGATTCCTGTGTAAGCAGCCTGACTGGTTTCCATTCTTTTTTTTCCCAGGCACGGATGAAGATGCCATCATCGAGATCCTGACCAAACTAAACGTTTCCCAACGTCAGCAAGTTCTGATCACCTATAAAAGCAGTATTGGCAGGGTAGGTTGTCTTCAGAGATTAGTGACTGTGGCTTTAATCGGGAGATGCAGGTGAATTTTCATCTGTATCTTGGGTGAAATGTGAACAACATCCTGGTCTCCATGACAGTAAGGTCAGCATGAGCTTATTTTGCTCTTGTTCACTTCAGAGCAACTGTTCATCCAAGGAGGGCTGGAGCATGAAGAGAAGTGGTGATGAGTTCTTTTTGTTCTCAAAGCCATGTCTTCTCCCAAATCCTTTCTCCTCTCTCCGTCTTCCAGGATTTGATTGATGACTTGAAGTCTGAGCTGAGTGGGAATTTCGAAAGGGTGATCATTGGTATGATGACTCCTACAACCCTGTACGACGTGCATGAACTGAGGAGGGCTGTGAAGGTTTGGAAATCTCCCTTTTATGTTGCTTAAGTTCTGGTCAGTTTAGTATGAGGTCAATTTAATACGCTATTACACAATTACACATTTATTATTAATTTCTTATTACTGATTTATATACCATTAAAAAGAGAACCCTAGATGCACATCAAAACAGATGCTGTTATAATCTTGGATCTTGTCTTCGCAATCCCCTAGGGTGCAGGAACAGATGAAGGTTGCCTGATTGAAATTCTGGCTTCTCGCACAAACGAAGAGATTCGGCGCATTAATGAGAACTACAAATGTCGTATGTAGTACAAACTGCAAGCCATTATCATACTGCCTGAAAAGTTGTGTGTATGAGTGGACACGTGAAGAGGAAGGAAAGGGGTCTGTTAGCCTTTAAACGTGACAAATCAGCCAATACAACTATTGTCTGTCCAGACAGAACCTCTGAGTTAAAGAGGTGTCACCAGCAGGACTGTCAACAGCCTCAAGGATTAGAATTTCACCCAGAAACTGAATCAGTGTAAATAAAACTGGGTGGGGTGGTTGTGTCTATCAGTTGGATGTCTGTCCATGTGTGGATCTATGGCCAGCTTTATACTACCGGTGCTTCTTAATTTTGGCTTGTAGCACAAAATGGGATGGCTGGGCTGCAGTGATGATATGTAGAGCACTGTTATATATTTACCAGCTTACAGCTGGCAAATGTCGTAGACAAACAGTGTCCAGGTGATGGACCTGTTACTAACAGATGTCATATGTGTGTGTCCTCTTGCTAGAATATGACTGTACCCTCGAGGAGGACATTGTCTCTGACACATCTTCCATGTTTCGGAGAGTCCTTGTGTCCCTCGCGACAGTAAGTCAGGCTGTAGGAAACGGGGGGAATCTTCCTGTTGCTGATGGACACGCATCTCAACTCAGTGATGAGTTGTTTCGAGCTGTTTTTTACTTCCCTTACCTTGCATTTCACCTTGCCTGCATTTCATACTTGGCTTCTGCAGGGAGAGGAGTCTGACTCGGGGTGTGTGTTAATGCCACGTGCTCTTTTTAAAGTGGCCCAGTTAAAGTGGGTTGCTGCTCATCTCCAAAGGAAGTACAAATCCCGTCTGAGCCATATTTTGCTGTATTTGTAATCTACTGTTCAATTTTAAGGATCTTATTACACATCTCCAGTAACTTGCTTTGGATGGGGAATTTGCAGTGAAATGAGTTTTTCATCCTTGTATCTCTGCAGGGAAACAGAGATGAGGGAACGTACGTGGATGAAGCCCTTGCTCAACAAGATGCTCAGGTGTGTAGCAATTTCCTTTCTTGCAAGAATTGTCTGTTCTTCTACATGTGATTTGTGGTAATGCCTCCTTCTCGTAGACCTAATTTTTTTCAAGGTAAGCCTTAAGCTATGCTAGAGAGCAGTGCCCCAGGTGGAGTCTTGGACTCCAGTCGCAGTTTCGACCCTTAGAGAAGCCTCTTCACTCTTCTGACTCAGCTGGTGAAATGGGGATAATGGTTCTAGCCTCCTTTGCAACTCTGCAGTGAGAGGTCTTTAGAAAGGCATGGAGGGGAGCATGCTTGGTTAGTATTTATTGGAAAACAGCTGTAATCTAGAAAAGGCACAGGCCAGCAGTGCATCAAGGAAAAGCATCAAGGAAAAGAAATCTCGTGTTATGTACACCTGGTCTTCTCAATTAGCCTTATTTTGTCTATTCATAATGTCTTCAAGTGCCTGTATGAAGCTGGGGAGAAGAAATGGGGAACAGATGAGGTACAATTTATGGCCATCCTCTGTACACGGAACAGATACCACCTACTAAGAGGTAGGACCCTTCACAGTACCCTGGATTTTTTTCCTTGTTTGAGGATGATACTTTGTAGGAGCTTTGTACTTGTTCATGAACTCCTGCAGCCCAATTCCATTCAATTCCTTAAGACCATTTTACTCCTCCTGAGACAAAAAGGGACTTCAGAAAAACATCAGTACAACTGGCTTCAGCCTGTAAATTGGAGATAATGAAGTGTGACTCCCATTGGGGCAGAACTAAGCATTTAAACTGCCATCATTAACTAGTTCTTGAAAATGCTAGCAGCAGTGGTAGGCCAATTAGCAAAACAGTTGATAATTAAAATTAATTATATCTGTGAGACAGTCGTGATTTAGCTTACAATGTCACAATAATGGTAAAATGTTCATGCAGAGTATGAGGAACTTGATCTTGCAAAGTGATCCTTGGGGGTTTACACACCGTGAACCTCTCACTGACTCTTTTATCGCTGACTCTTCCTCCTAGTTTTTGATGTATACAGAGGGATCGCTGGTAAGGACATAACGGACAGCATTAAATCTGAGATGTCAGGAGACCTCGAAGATGCTTTGCTAGCTGTGGGTGAGTTCCCTGCCTTTAAACTTTGTCTGCAAAGTAATTAAATAATTGGAGATATTGCATCTTGCCCCGGCTGGCTGTTTGCATAGCTTCAGGAGGCAGACACTGTTTGTCTCTTTTGCAAGCCACAATGGTTTACTCTTTGCAGATACAATGGAGTGAGAAATATTCTTTGCTTTCCCAAGTGACGCTTTGGTAGCTGACATTTGCTGTCAGGAAGCATTAAAGCCTTAAAGAAAATATTACTGGGCACGGAGACATCAGATTACAGCAGGTCACTGACTGTGGGTGTCTGCATTGTACTTGCTGGTTGTTGTTGCCTGTTGCCTGTTGTTGCCCTGAATTGCATCTTTACGGAATAAACACCTTCACTGACAAAGTGCTGTGAAGGTTTGGAAGACCTTCTCCCTCAGTTTTTATTGACCGTAATTCTCTTGTTCTTGTCTCCCTCACAGTAAAGTGTCTGCGAAATAAACCTGCGTATTTTGCTGAAAGACTGTATAAATCCATGAAGGTGAGGAGCTTTTGGTGTGAGATTGCTATTTCCCCCCACCCGCCTTGCTTTTCCGTGCTTGAGTCAGTAGCACGACAGCAATCACTCCATAAAGAGGAACTCTGCTGTCAACTGGGGAAAAATAAAGGAAAGTCTAAGCTTTTATATGGAGCTCTTTTCCCTCACGAAACTCAGAGCAATATCCGGCAGTGAGCTGCTAGTGGATCACCCCACTAATGCAAAAATGCTCTGATTAGGAACAAGTGTTAAAACTTGATTTATCCCAAACTTTGCAGTTGTAAATGGTTGGTTTTTTTCTTCAGGGCTTGGGAACAGATGACAACACGCTGATCCGAGTGATGGTGTCCCGCTCTGAAATAGACATGCTGCAGATCAGAAGGGAATTCCTGACCATGTACGGGAAATCTCTCTACTCCTTCATTAAGGTAAGCTTTTCAGTGTTAGAAACAAAGAGCTGGATTTGCAAAGCACCTTCAAGGAGACAGGTGCCCACTCGACACCTATTGGGTATTTTAGAGGAGCTGGAATTAGGACAGCTTTACATTTATGTACTGAAAGTGTTCCTAGTTCTTAAATTGTCAAAAAGAATACAAACCTTACAACAAATTGTATGTGCTGGAAAGAATCCAGCCTTGCATGGAGCTGTACAATTAATTGTGTCCCTTTTTTCTTTCTAGGGAGACTGCTCAGGAGACTATAGGAAAGTTCTGCTCAGGCTCTGTGGTGGGGAGGATTAAAGGATGCTGGCTGCACTGCCTGGGTGATGGGAAGCATTTGATCATAAGGATTTATTTCTTTTTAATTTTACCAAATATCTTATTAATTGCTGAGAGCATTGACTTAGATTAGTTAATGCTCTGGTTAGATTATGGCCATTCTGATTAACTGTTTTGATAGGCTTTTATGCTTGGAAGACCTATTTGTCTACTAATTGGGCCAGCAAAGCCCATCTTGAACAGAATGCTGTAACCAAATATATAAAAGTTAAATTGTTCCCTGACAAGCTGTCCTTTTGCCATTGCATTCACCAGCAAAATTTATCAACTGAAACAAACTGGGATGCAGAATATGAGAGGCTGCACAGGGAAAAAAATTAACCTCATCAATACATGCAAGAATACAGAATGCAGGCCTGCTTTATCTTTTTTGCAAGACAATTAAAACACAAATCAATCTTCTAAAATACAAGCATGTTGATCTTAACTTGCCTTCTGTTAGTGTGGAGCATTAACAGCCTTGCTGCACTTTATATATATAATACTGCCTATAGATCTGTAGGTAGGGAAGATGTCACTGGTGATGTAAAAAACAGCTCTTGCTGCCCTGGTTCACAGGACAGCCCTGTGTCCTCGGCCTGTCTTCCCTGACTCATGAGAGTATAAATCATCAGGGTTGTTACAAACCTTTCCTCTTGATAAAGTGATGTCATTAGAATGGTGCCTTTAAAGAATCGCCTGTCCCCACAAATGTGTCTCCTCAGCACCTGGTGCCTCTGCCTCACCTGGCCTTCCACACCAACCTCTGGAAGAGACTTTTCCCCCAGACCCTACACACCTGCCTGTTAAACTGAGTGTTGTTTTCACTGCAAAAATGTGGTTCATTTGGTTTAGAAAATCTTTTATTTTTTCTTTAGCTGTTGGTATATAATCCTGTTTCACAGGCATCAGACTGAGGGTAGAATTAGAAGGCACGAGTACTGATATGGCTGACACCCCGTTCTGTCGCTCACTTTCTTCTAAATTAGGCTGCTGTTGGCTTGAATAGGAGATAGTTCTGTGGCCTCAAATAAAATGTTTTTCTTTTTCACTCTCTTTGCTGTAATGGGAGATACATTCCTTAGTTTTGGTGGGAGAGGGGGCAGGGCTTTTTCCAGTTCTACCAAAGTGTTCTGCTCAGTGAAAGAAAAATCGTCTTACCCAGTAGAACAGGCGAACAGATGCACTCAGGCTTGGGTTTGTGTTTCAACGCCTTGTGTTACATTGCTGAGTTTTTTAACATTAATAAAACAATTCCTTTCCTTACCTTCTGCCATGATTGTGTGTTCTGGGAGAGGTAATGGTGAAATAAATGTCTCCTTGGGGTTTTTCAACAACTTCTGTGTGTGACACAGGTGCTTTTCTCCTGCTCATGGATCTCCATACACCAGCAGAGCGGAGAAAGGCTGCAGGGAGACACTGGCCTCCTGCTCATCAGGAAGAGGCAAAACCAGCACAGGGGGATGCTGTAAATCTGGGATGCTTTGGGGCATGGTTTATAAAACACCATGTTGTGTCTGGTGGGGAATTGCCAGGGGCAGGTTTGAGGCTGCAGGCCTGCACACGCTGATGTCAAAAGAATATGGCTTAAAAGTTACATAAACACTTCATATAAAATTGTAATAAAACTTTGAACTTTAGCTGAACTCCTGAAATGAAAACTTAATTGGGCCTTTTGCACCTGGACTAAGTGCAGAAACAATTAAACTTAATTGTGTCCTTCCACATCCACCTGGACTAGATGTAGAAACAATTAACTGCAACTTAGATCAAAGAGAGTGAATTGTTGAAAGATTACCATCCTGGGAGTTTACTGAAGGTGAACAAGGCCCCGGAGGAAATATGCTCCCGGCCTCGGATCTGACTGTAGGATGACAAAATATATCATCTTTGGAATGGAGTTGGGCAAGAGCGTGTCCGAGAGGAGCCTCAGGAGATTATAATACTAATATTTAGTGAATCTATTTCGGACTTAGTCTTTTTCTATGACAGGGCCGTGTTGAACCACACACCGTTGGCCTCGGCCCATAGATCCGGCCTCTCCAGCCTCCTCCGTGGGGCCTCCCCGCCCTCAGGCAGACCCCACCCCCTCCCGACCGACCGACCGGGGAGCGCAGGCCCGCACCCCCCGTCCCATGGCTGCCGCTGCTCCCACTTGGAGCTCGATGAGCCGGACGGTTCCTCTCGCTCATCCACCGCCAAGCAAAGAGCTGCGGTGACGCCGGGACACTGAATTGGGCGGAATTACGGCTTTTTCCCCTCCAGGCGCCCTCCTCCCCTCAGCTGCGCCCCGAGGCCCCCGCGCGGAGCCCGCCCGGCGCACGCGCAGTCCGTAGGGGCCGCAGCGCATGCGCAGGGGCCGCGGTGGCAATGGCCGCCGCCGGCCGTTGGTGAGGAGCCCTCGTCCACCCGCCCCCCGCTTCCCCGCTCCGCTCCGGGCGGCCCCATGAGGAGACGGCGGCGGCGACGGCGGAGCGGCGATGGGCTCGCTGAGCAGCCGGGTGTTGAGGAGGCGGCCGGGCCTCCCGCGCTGCGACGGGGCGGCCGGGGGGGACGGTGGCGGCGGCGGCCGGGGCGGCAAGAGGAAGCGCGGTGGGGCCGAGGGGCCCGGTGACAGCGACAGTGACGGCGAGACCGAGCGGGAGG